AATATTTGGACGTTTATCCACATCATACTTCCAGCAATCTAATAAATCAATTAATTTATTATAATGAAAATATTATACAGTAGGCAATTTATCTTGAAACAAAATCAAAAAAAAAGTACCTTTGTAAATCAAAGAATACTCTCGAGGAGTTCCAATAATTTCTGATTCTCTTTTTCCACGTATAATATCGAGTAAACAATTATAACCAAATGGCGATTCAGATTCAAATGGAATAGTACCACTAGAAATCTCCCACAGGATAACACCAACGCTATATACATCAGAACTTTGGTTTAGTTTATATGTTTTTAAATTTTGTAAATATTGAGGATCAAAGTACTGAACAAATGAAAGTAAATGTTGATAGTGGTTTTGATTCATATAAATTTGGGAGGGAAATCCGCTTATTTTAACATTTCCTTTATGAATAAGGATGTTTTCAGAATTCTGAGAAAATTTGCAGAATCATCGATAAGCTTACGTAAATAAATGCTTATTAAAAATTTATGAATATTATTCATTACCAAATGTCCATGTATAATATTATTAGAATGTAAATGCTTAATTGCATTTGCAATCTGCTTGGACAGACGTAGTTTATCTCTCCATCTTATCAACTTAAAATTTACTTCCAAATATTGCCGAAGAGTTCCACCATCGGCATATTCAAAAACTACCATATACTTTAATTATATTTTTAACTGCAAGTTAATACAACCGTAATTCAAAAAACTAAATAGTGATTAAATCTAAAAAAAAAAAGCCTACTGAAATATACATACATACGTACCCGGCTTAGTTAATCCAAAAATTCTTAAAACATTATCATGAACTTTAATATTTTGATATTGATCAATCTTTAATATTTAAATGGTAACAAACATTAACAAAAACTTTCGATTGTGCATTTTATAATAGCTAACTTATGATATCATATCTTACTTCTTTAATGAGTTCTTTTAGAGAAAATTGTTGACTTATATTAATGGGTTTTAAGATCGTTGTTATGTCACATTTTTTAAATGTTGCCTTATAATAGCATTCAGATTCTCCAATGCTTATGGGTTCAACTTTTGTAAAATTATCATTATAATCATGTATAAAATTGGTTTCTTTATATTGAAAATTAGCCATTTTTTTAAATTTAAGAAACATGAGGTATTTACAGTATCCGTAGCACTCAGAATGTAATTTGCTAGACGTATTTACGTAAAAGAATTTGGTTTCACAAATTTTACTGTTACGTATCGGACTGAATACTCCGATTTGTCAGTTATGTCAGTGCGTTTTGTATCACGATGTACGTAAGTACGTACGTACGTACTTTATTATTGCCATTTTTAATTTTGCGTTCAGGTTTAACTGTTTGTCTATTCAATCAATAATTTAAACAGTAATGCAATTTACCGGACTTAACTTATCAAAAAGAAGTCAAGAATATGGAACATGCATGCAATGTAGAGAATATAACACTTCTCCAGCTTGGTGCAAAACATGTGCAAGTGGAAATAAGGATATCGATGATTATATTAAAAAATCTCAACGTGAGGCAACAGGATATGATAAAGTTATTGAATGGATTCCATTTAATAAACTGAAATGCATGCAGGAAATTAATGAAGAAGGTTCAAATACAGAATTTTTAGCAGTCTGGATAGATGGCATACGATTAGTTTCTAAAGTCGATGACAAATGCATACAATCACGTACACCACCGTATACTGTTAGACTTAAGACTATACTCGGTTCACAAATAAATTCTAATTTTTTAAAAGATGTAAGTTTAAGCTGATATTTTAATGTAAATAATTTTATTAATATATTTATATAAGTTCTATTAATTTATTTTCTTACATTGAAACATGTGCAGTCAATTGATGACTGTGAATTATACGGATTTACTCAAAACCCATCCACCTATGAATGTATGATAGTGTTTGATGGGTTTTATCATAAAAGATCTTGCAACAATGGGCAATGTGCACAATGTAAAAAAAATAACACTTCTCCATCTTGGTGCCAAGCATGTCATCCACAAGTAGATTTATTAATGCATGAGGATTTTCTAAAAAGAGTTGTCAAAAAATTGTGCGATCTATATATTGAAGAAGTTAATAAAGGAAATAATGTCGATTTATTTTTTTATGCAGTAGAGCAACACATGGCAAATAAG